TGGCAATAGTTCGCTTGGGTGAGGAAGCCGGCGTGATCTATTGCGATCTTGCCGAACTTCTCATATGTCATCCCCTCTTCTTTGGTGCGGGGATAGAGTTGTGCTCTTAGGGGATCCAGAAGTGCTCGTGCAAAACTGTTTAAGATTTGGGGATAGAGTTCATCCATAATTGCTTTTAAGGCAGAGGTACTTTTCCATTTCCTATCAGGAAGGCTGAGGATTAACATCTCAGTGCGTCTTGCTAAATTCTTATCCTCCAATCTTTCCCTTATGTCTTTGAGGAAATCTTCGATTCGTGTTTATTGCGAATACTCTACCATGGAGCTGGATCCTGCCTCCTTTTGCAGTGAGATGGCGAAGCTCATGGCATCGCCTCCCATGCACGAAGTTGCCATCAACACCCTGTCCTAGTATGGAATACGTTGTCCGTACATATATGTTTCGATTGTTGCCGCCCAATGCAGAACACTTTCCTCCTTTCCATTATAGGTCCACGACAGTTTAAGTTTTATCTTGCTAACCTGCCCGGTTTCCTGAGGAAGTTTATCTTTTGGATCCCCCCTTCTTTTCCCCTCTCATCATCGCCATCGTCATCACCATCTCCTCCTCCGCCTCCAACGCCCTTTACTATCTTTTCTATGACTTCGGGAGTGAAAAGTCTTAGTGACATGTCCATCCAAGGCCCTGATGTAAGTCTGGACATGCGGGTAAACGTCCTTTGTTGCAGAGGGTTTATCCTTTTGAGCTTCCAAAGCCTTCTGTAGTTTTCCCCCTTCTACCTGCAACCTTTTTTTTTCTTTCATTTCTTGCCTCCCGGCTGCTAGCATTCTATTGTTCAACTCAGCTCTCTTTTCCTCCATTAGCAGGTTTCGCTCGACTGGGTCTATCACAGTGACCAACTTTGCGATGAACGTATTTTTTTCTTCTCCAGTTTCCCTTAGCGGCTCGCTGGAGTAATAGTACTGACCGGCCCAATCCAGTGGTTCAACTGGAAGTCTGGCCGTTGCAGTATTGCTACTCTCAGGTAGGTCCAGGTGACGACGTCTTTTCAAAACTTCTCCTTCTTCCTGTTCTTCTTCTTCTTCTTCTTCTTCTCGTATACTCTTCAACTCTTCTTCCAGGGGACCCTCCGCCGGATCACCACAGTACTATCCCTGTCCAAGTTACTTGCGGACTCTGTGTTGATCTGCGGTGAATGGAGTACTTTTTTTTTTTTTTTTTTTTATTAACTATAGAAGGTGCTGCGCACAATGGATACTACAATCAACTTGAGACCAATGTCTGTTCTTGGTATATGTCTCTTTTTTTTCTTTCTAATATGCTGTCTGGCGTTCTGGATCATATTCGTTTCAACGTGTTTCTGGTACCTTGCTGTACCTCCCCCTTGATGTCTTGTCTTTCTACTAACGGGCTGGCTTGTGTGGATGCAGGTATGGAGTATAGCGCAGAAGTATCAGATGCAAATAGTCAACCAGGCAGAATTACTTTGCTCAATTCTTTCTTTCTTTCGGCCTTAGCTGGCCCTGTAGATACTCATCATCGTGTTTGGGCTGCTTGGTACTTGCAATCTGACGTGGCAGACAGCCACTTCCCACATCGATTCTTAGTCCCTGATGACGATACCCAGCCTGCCTATCGAGAGGGGTAGGAGAGAAGTCTACTCCTACTCGCAGAACACTGGACCACCTAATCTAGTGTGACCAGGCCCTGACACCTCGCACTTGGACCATCCAGACTCTAGGACGATCCAGACCCAGACTTAGACTCCAGACCAGCAGCAGTCACCTTCAGAGGGTCAGAGAAAGAGAAGGTAGGGGACACACATACATGCAGGTTCAGGAAAAGGAGGTGCTTCTCTCTTCTTGAAGATACCGCCGGTGATGCTCCACGACGCTCCGCACGCTCCAGGTAAGTAACTCTCACCTCTTCTTCTTCGGCCTGCTTCCCCCACCATCCAACACCTCTTCTCTTCCTCCCTCCACTTATTCTCCATCACCACTTCTCGCCGGCCTTGATCATGCCAGCGCTATGAGTACAGCGAGCATCTGCTCTGATACCAAATTTTGCATGGGTCCTGGAGACCATCTCACGCAAGTGTGTACATGTCATGCATCATCCTCGCACACCATGGTCAATAGTCTCACACAACAGACGAAGGTAGATGAGAAGAGAACCGAGTCTCACCACTTATATTATCAGAAATACGATTACAAAGAGTTTCAAAGGTCCCTGAGTCCAGCGCTCAACAGCGCAATACACATCCCTTGTCAACTCGTCAATATGGCTTACAATACATCAGCGCKACTTCTACAGATTGTCTCCAAATCATGTCACTACTCATCAGCGCCACCTCTACAGTTCACATCCAACTCAGGTAAGTATCTTCCATAACCAAACCTTGAATGAACACTCTTTGCCTCAGTCCCTTCCTCCTACGATGCATACAAACTCTTTACTTGTGAGGATCTACTCTGAATTCTACTCATAGCTGTCTACCCCTAACCCTGTAAGTCTATACTAACTCGCTGGGCAGCTATGACTGCATCACTTCCAGCGCACAGTCTTCTTCCCTCACTCAGCGCATCTTCATCCTCCAGCGCTGCTCCTCCTGACTTAGCGAACAAGTGCTTCAGCACTTCCACGCATAGAATGCCAGTGGAGATCTGGCGAGGAATGAGGCTGGCTGCTGCCTTTATAGTGGTGGCCTCTCCTCGCTGGGTCTGCATTGGCTCAGTTCAGCCTTTCCTTCGTTCCAGACCCTGCATTGCATGTGTCCCAGTACAGTCCCAATGAAGTTCAACTGCTGCTGAGGCCTTTCGGCCTAGATTTGGACTTGAAAGTCTGGATCTGGACTGTCCCCTTGACTTAGACCAGAACTGGAACTTTACCTATTGACTTACTTTCGGACAGGCACATCTTTAGACGAACAGACACTCACTGCCTGAACAGACACTCCCAATGTGTGAATAGACACTCTTCTTTGCACGAACAGGTGCACTGACTGCACGCACAGACACACCCTATTCCGAACAAACATGACATGCACATCTCCTGGTGAACAGGTAAGTCTTTTGACAATGCCCTTTGCTTTAGATTTAGATATGCCCGTTGATAGAGAACGTGACCTTTGACCTGCTTTCACGTTTCTGAGCCCTGGCGAGATACCCTTTCATGGTGCTTTACTTTTACAAGGCCTGAGGCCTGCATCGGGTAAAGGCCCTTTTAYGTGCCTGGGGCTGAGTTCTGGGCCCCAGGCTACTTCTGAACAGGGTTACTGCAAAGAGGGGAGGAGATGATGAGGAGGAGARTGGTTGGCGAAGAAGAAGAGCATTGTCATTGGTCTATGCTGGAGTACATCATCTTCTTCTTCTTTCTTTCTTCTTCTTCTTCTTCTTCTTCTTCTTCTTCTCTCTCTCTCTCCTCTCAAATTCATTCATTTCTTTTTGCAATTGGATGGCATTGTACTGTCTGAAGATTGTGTACTTCAAAATTCGCCAGTTTCGTAAAATTGGTATCAGAGCGGATTCTACTTGCTGGCGAGAGTTGACTTTGCCGCCGTAACCCACGTAAGTGGTAAGGGCTGACCACTTAGTTTTAGGGCAGGCAGTAAGGGTTAAGTGGGGGCAGCGTGGTGAAAGGGAAGCTGCTCCTACCTGGCAGGGTCGTGTAGGGTCGATATTAGACCCAGCCAGGTTGCTAGAGTGCACGTTTGTGGTGGCGAGACACAAGTTGGGACTTTGTCATGCGATTGCAGAGAGGTGGACGTGGAGGAGATAGGAAGCAAGGAAGAGAAGTTCGAGAGAATGATGAGGAGGGGGAAGTAAAGAAGATGACGAAGAAAGGGAAGGACGGACTGTTAGTGGGGAAGGGAGCTTTATGTGGAAGGGGGGAGACGAGAGACGTAAATCTTTTGTTCCGTTGGTCCCTTCCCCTTTTGAACTTTCCCCTGGTCTCTTCTTCTTGTTCTTAGGGTAGTTTTTCTTCTGCCTGTTCTGCTGTTGTTTTCTTGTCCTTTCTCCTTTTTCTTTCGAGCATCACTTCAAAGTGTCTCTACTTCGTCTCGTCTTTTTCTAAGCGTTGCTTCTTAATGGTAGACTTCTATTCTGAAGAGTCACTTCTTGCTAGCGTCACTATGTCATGTTTGCTTCCTAAATCGTCCTTGTCTCAACATGTAAATAGCTATTTGGGGCAAGTTTGTTCATGTCACCTTTGAGTATCGAATGGGCAAAAAAAAAAACGTGCGCCGGCAAAGAAAACCGCGCCGAGTTCGAAAGGAAACGGAAGTACCGATGGCCGTGGTGTCAGAGCGGGTGTCATGTTTACAGGGGTCGGCCGTGGTGTCAGCGGGGAAAACAAGAAAAATTCCCAACGGATACTTTGGGACCGCAATCGCACATTTCGAGTTGGTGCCGGCGCAAGTTTTTTTGCCTTTCGGGTTTCAAAACATTCCGTGTCCATCGTTATTTCTAACTATTTTTTCTTCAAAGTGTCGGCTGACTCGGCTCTTCTCGAAAGCATCACTTCCTGTGAAGCGTAGATTCTCTCAAAGGATCACTTCATTCAAATTTCCTCCTTTTCTCCTTAGCATCACGTCTTGTGCTTGATGTCAACTTCTTTTCCTTCAAGGCGGACTTTTCTTTGAAGTGCCACTTCTTCAAAGCATGACTTTGCTTCCTCTTAGCCTCATTATTTTTCATAGCTTTTTCTTTTTTCAATCCTTTTCATTATCATCACTTCTTCTTGCCAGTTGTGTGTCCCTTTTCTCTGAAGCATCACTTCTTCTTTGGCGAAGTGTCGCTCAGGTTCTTAATACTCCTTATCATTACTGTTCTGAACAGGACTTGACCAGTTACACTGGTGATCGTTGTTCATGAGTTCTCTTTGAGCGACAATGAGGTCCAGTGTTCTGGATATAAATCTATCTTGGGAAACAGGACTTGGGAGGATGAAATGGAACCAAAAATTGAGTAAGAATGTTGGACTGGACTGCTTTGTTACAGGTATGATCAAGGATCTTAAATCAGCACCATCAGGCTCTGTGGTATTGCTTCATGGATGTGCTCATAATCCCACTGGAGTAGACCCCCTGCCAGAGCAGTGGGAAGTCATAAGGCAGGTGATCAGAGATAAAGGTCATCTTCCGTTCTTCGATTGTGCTTATCAGGTATCATCACCTTGATTTCCCTCCCTGACTATCTCACTCGGTCCCTTGGTTTCTGTTGCACTCCCTTCTGCTATTCGCGCGTCAAAGTGCCACAAACTTCATTGAGCATTTTGCTTGGCCTCCCACTTACTCTGATGCTATCTTGCTCAAACCCTGGCTTTCTCTCTCTATGCCTCTTTCTCATTGCTCTGGCCTACTGCCTGCAAGACAGGTAGGACAGCACACTCTTGCGGCATGATATCAATCAATACTGATCATTTACAGTTACAAAATGGTGGTAAGCAGTACTGATTCTGTGAAGTTTTTGTCCTCCTCTCCATCCGTCCTACACACACACATTGTGGTGACAGTTTACCACTTTTAAAGACAGATTACAGGCGTGGTTGTTTTCTTGTCAGTGGAGCCGATTGTGTTGCAACTAACTTCTTGTGTTCTGTGTAATTGTTGTTTGTTAAGTACGGTGCCTTTTTCCCTTCATCCTTTTATAGTATATATATTTGTGCAAGTGTGCCACTCTGGCGGCAAACGGGTGTGTGGGCACTTGGTGCACAAACCATCAGTACATGGCACCAGCCAAGTTGAGAATCGCGATTGAGCCTCTCCAAAAAAATCGGAGGCTTGGGGGAACCGGACCAAACGAGTGGCTGGCGTGCCAGCCAAGACTAGAACAAAAACGCGGCGTGGGATTTTCAGCAAAGCTTCGTGCGCAGTGGGTATCGTCCTCAGATGAAACGGGCCGGGATGTTTTATGGATGTTTTGTGACGATTTGTGGGCGAAGTGAGAGAGCGAAATCAGACTGCACTCCAAACTTGCTTATAACATGCATATCATGGAACTGATGGCAAAACCAAACTCTTCAACTCAGAATCAACAATGAACTTGCACTTAAACTCTGTTCAAGTCAACTGTACAACTTGCGGCTATGGCCGCCCAACACCGTCTCCACCACCAGCCTCACTCTCCCACGCACGCATGTACGAGGATCTACCCTGAATGTCTACGCTACACAGGCACACACACTCTGTAAACTCTGTCTGTGACAACAGCTGGGCGGCTATGACCGACATCGTCGTCCTCCTCCCAGCTATGGCCGCCGTCGTCTTCCTCCTGGCCAGCTATGGCCGTCATCTTCCTTACTGCCCAATTCAGCCGGGCACCTGCATACCTTCACTCACAAGTCACCAAGGCCACTCGAATCTATGGCTGGACGCCGCCACTTTATTTATACTTCTTTGGAGGTTGCTGGGCCCTGCCTCAAAACGCGTGGGCCTGGGCCAAAATGTGTGGGCCTGGCCTATTACCGCGTGGGGCTGGGCCTCTAAACGCGCGGGCCCCGGGTCTGGAAGTTTCCAAACCGCATGGGCCTTTCTGGTCCAAAACGCATGGCTGCTGGGCCCCATCAGTGTGATCCAGAATCTTCCCCAAACCACGTGAGCCCTTCCCTACCAATGGCGTGCAGCCCCTACCCTTGGTACTTGCTGACTAAACAGACCTACAGGGACCTACAGCCTTCTAGACCTACGTACCAACCCTTAGGCCCCAGTAGACTCAGGTAGAGACTTCTAGATAGGCCCTAGCTAGACCTAGTGGTAACACACTAACCCACTGATACGAAGATCTGTGGATCAAGTCCTACTGACTAACAAACAGTTCTACTAACAAACCTACAGATTTAGAGACAGGTCACAGGGTCAATGTACAGGGTTTAGGCACAGGTTTAGGGATCGAATCTCAGGGTCTGCAATTGTCCGGTCAACTGGGTGAAATCGTTTCACTCCCGCCGTCCTAAATTCGAGGTCCTTCGAGAACACTCTCATCTTTACCCTTTCTTTCCCTTTCATAGGCGTGTGCTATGTCGGGAGCAGATTCTAACAGCTCTGTTCTAGTTAACCATATGTTGTCCTCTGGTTCCTGACTTTATATTGTTTCTGGGGATGACCTCGACCTCTAGTTCTAAACACGTCCTCTTGCACTGTGCGGTCTATGTCGTATGTAACTTGGACGCAGGGAAGACTGGGTACGTGTGGAGGTGTGGTGGGATCTCTATTGTGTACGATGGTCCGTCGTCTCCTCCTTTGACTTCTAGGACAGGCCATGGTCCTTTATACACAGGTAAGAGCTTCTGCGAGACGTTCTCTTCTGATGCAAATTCTTTTGTCGTGACCCAGACTAAGTCGCCTACCTGAAACTGCGATGGTCCACGGTGCTTGTTAACTTGCTCAATCATACGATGCTGGGCCTTCCTCAGGGTCTCAATCACCTTAGCAACTTCTTGGTACCTGAAACTGCGATGGTCCACAGTGCTTGTTAACTTGCTCAATCATACGATGCTGGGCCTTCCTCAGGGTCTCAATCACCTTAGCAACTTCTTGGTCATGCTGCCATGCAAACTCTTGGGTGCGGGGAGGTAATCTTCGAATCTGGTCCCGGTTCAGTTGTTCAAAAGGTCTCCTTGGTCTGAAGGACTTACGGAGAGCTTCAGTTCTACAGGTAGCTAGTTGAACACTATTGTTATATGCGCTGGCTACCTTGGGGATCATCTCATCCCAGTTCGCTTGATCCGGTCTAATATACATTCTGAGTGGCTGCTGCATGATCTTATTCATCTGTTCTCTCTGGCTGTTCGTCTTTGGGTGTCGTCTTGATGACATCAACAACTTAGACCCATAGACTTCCATAAGATCCTGCCAATTCTGTCTGGTAAACCGTGTGTCTCTATCACTAACTATGGACAACGGTAGACCGTGCTCGCTTACCCAGAGATCGCACACCCAGAAATTGAAGAACTCTTTTATAACTAAATCGGTACGTGCCTTTGAAGACAAGGGTACGAAAACTGCATACTTACTGAATCGATCTAATATGACCATAACTTGACTTTTGCCATCTGACCCCAGTATCCATAAAGTCGATGGAAATTGACTCTCCGGTTCCTGACGGAATAGGCAGGGGTTTGAGAAGACCTAATAGTGCTCTAGATGTCGTCTTACTGCGCTGGCAAACTTTGCAGCTGCGCACATATTTTATGAAGTTCGCTTTCATGCCTGGCCACGTGTAGGACATCAGCAAGTTAGCTAAAGTCTTTTGTCATCCGAAGTGCCCCTCCGTATCGTGGCATTCCCCTAAGATCAAACTACGGACCTCTTCATTGTTGGGATGCACAGTCTGTCAGCGACATTGGTCTTCTCAAACAATAGCCCATTCGTGGTTCGATAGTGCGGCTCGCTATCAGGGGCTTCCCTTACTCTCTTCAACAACTCACTATAAATTGGGTCTTGTGGATATGCATCTCTGATCTTCTGCTGCAGATTGGGCACTATGTTGTGCCAAAGTAATCAGCTCTCCTACTCAAGGCATCGACTGCCACGTTATACGTCCCTTTAACAAGCTTCAACTCGAAAGTCAAACTGGTCTATTTCAGCAGCCCATCTAGTCAACTTGGGTGTCATCTTGGCTTGGGTTTTTGACCATCTAAGAGTCTCATGATTTGAATATACCTTGCGAAGTGCCTCCCAAGCAGGTAGTTCTTCCAGTGGTCTAGGGCTTGCCGGAGAGCGTCGAGTTCTTTCTCGTATGTCGATGCTGCAACTTTCCATGAGGGTAGCCTGGCTGACATGAACTCTATGGGTCTTTAACCATTGCCATCATCTTGCTGCAAAACGACGCCTATGCCATACTGACTTGCATATGTAGTAATGATATACGGTAGTGACGGATCAGCAACTTCAAGGACAGGGAACTCTATTGAGGCCTTATTCAATTTCTTGAAGGCCGGCGTGCAATCTTGGTCCCACTTCCAAATTGCTTCTTTCTTCAGTAGTCTGCAAAGGGGAGCAGTGATCGTAGAGAAGTTCCTCAAATCATAGGAATGATCGTAACTCAGTCAGTTTGAGGAGTTGGCCACTCTTTAATCGATGCAATCTTGTTGTCCTTTGGTCGAATGCCGTCTCCGTTTAATACGTGGCCCAGGTAAAGGATCTCGGTCTTGGCCCACTCGCACTTCTTTGCATTGATTTTAAAGTTACTTTCTAAACTCTTCTAGAATCTGCCTCAGATGGCCCTCATGCTCCTAGAGGGTCGAACATTAAGATGCCGTCTAAATATACTACGACGAACCTATCTAACCAAGGCCTAAATAATAGTCGTTCATGCAGCGCTAAAAGGTGGCCGGTGAGTTAGTCAGTCAAAACAGCATCACTATGAACTCGTAATGTCGATCTTGTTCTGAATGTCGTCTTATGCTGATCGTCAGGATGAACCTCTATCCGAAATACTTGCAGCCCTGCACTCGATCTAACAAGTCGTCTATACGGGGCAACGACTCTGCATGTACACTTTCTCAACTACACTTTCTCAACTCTCCGTCTTTCTTTGGGACGAATAGAACAGGTGCGTCGAAAGGTGATGAACTAGGCCTTATCCATCCTTTCTCCAGGAGCTCATCTAACTGTCTGTGAAGCTCCTCTACTCGTTTGGGAGACATCTTGTAGACTGCCCCTTGGGCGTTCTACAACCAGGCTCTATCCGATGCGGTGCTGGATTGGTCTTGGCACTACACCTGAAGGTGCTTCAGACAAATCTTTGTATTCTTCCAGCATACTGGCAATGGTAGGATGGATCTTCTCTTCCTCCTTGGGTTTGTCAGAAATCGGCCTAGTATAGGTTACGACCACCTGCTCTTTTAGTTGTTTCTTGCTTACAAGTTTAGCGAAGGCAGGAACGTTGAGGCAGCAATGTGCGAGGGGATTATCTACCCGGGACTCATGGTACAAGCAAACTTGCTTGACTTCGCCTGACGGACTAGGGAGCTTGCACTTGTGCTTTCCAAGGTAAAAGTGGCTTCTGCTACCTCTCCCCAAGTTGTTCCAAAACTTGCCGAACGGGAGATTCTCTTCCACGAGAAGAGTCGAGGAATGAAGAACCTTCTCTACTTTGCCTTCTTTCTCTAGGCGGAAATATGCCTGGACTCCTTCGACGTAGTCCTCGACTCGCATCCCTC